AGAGATCTGACAAGTATGCAGGTGTTCAAAGGTTTGTGAGTTAAAATGATGAAGTCTTTGATGATTTTTTAATAGCTGAATTTTTAATACAGGTCAGCCTTCTTTCTTTGAGTCTGCATTCCAGATTAATTGATAAATAGTAGAACTGTGCAGTGCTAGATTCTCCTAAGCAAACAAGTACGGAAAATCTATAAAAAAATCTGCCTGGTTGGCTTCTCTTCAGATCTTAGTTGTAACTTCTTTAAAGGAGAATTATGAAAGGCTTTTAACTTTATTCCCTTTCAGTGGAGAGCTTCTTTATCTCGTGTTTAAAAAAAACTTTTTTATTAAACAGAAATGTTGTTTTAACAGTTGTTGAACTCTAGAGTTCAGAAACCACCTGTACAAAAGACCTCAAGGGAATCGTGATTTTTTTTTCTTTGAAGGAAATCTAAAAAAGTAACACCCTTCATATGTTGTCACAAAAATGACAAGAGCTTCTAATTTGAGGCTAATATATTACCATCAAGTCTCTGATGTCTGAAGATCATCTTCTAATTTTTCAAAAACAAAATAGAACACTAATATTGAATCTTCATAAAGGCACTAAATATCGCCTTAGAAACTACCATGTATTGTCCTTTGGGTTGTTATGGGTTTTTTGGGCTATATGGCCATGTTCCAGAAGCATTCTCTCCTGACGTTTCGCCTGCATCTATGGCAGGCATCCTCAGAGGTTGTGGGGTCTGTTGGAAACTAGGAAAATTGGGTTTATATATCTGTGGAAGGTCCAGGGTGGGAGAAAGAACTCTTGTCTGTTGTAGCTAGCTGTGGATGTTTAAATTGGCAAGCTTGATTAGTATTTGATAGCCTTACAGTTTTTAGGTGTGGCTTGTTACTGCCTGGCGGAATCCTTTGTTAAGAGGTGATTAGCTGACCCTGATTGTTTCTTGTCTGGAGTTCCCCTGTGTTTGAGTGTTGTTCTTTATTTGCTGTTATAATATTGTCCTTTGTCAAGTACCTTTAGTTGACCTTCTACAAAGTATTTTTTTCTATTCCAAAATGAAAACAGATTCCTGGAGTTCGCACAAGCTTGCTAATGGAGTCCACTAGTCAGTGATATGTTTTTAGTCTGTTTCTCCTTCTCATCAAAATACCTATCCTTCTTTAGATCATGTATTGCAACTTTGGAAATGTGGACACTATGTTGGTAGGTATAGTTGTCCCCAAGTACCACTGCATGGCAGATGAGGATTAAACCTTTTACAGCACTCTAGTTCATAGCATCGCCGTAAGTCAAAGTCAACTTGATAGCTAATAACAAAAAAGAACCAATAGCAAAAAACAGCAGAGGGAGCAGGAATTTAATTGATATTTAAACTGTTTTGGAGCTAATGAATAAATAGTCACACATTCACTCATTATGAACCTTTTCATGTTTTTGTCACATCTGATACTCTCCAAATGTACATTGTTGCAAAACTTCATTTAAAATTCCTTTGTAATTTTGTGACACTTTTCTCCTACTGGAATCTTTGATCCTGTTAAGAGGGTATACATTTTTGGGACGCTCTGTATATGTTAGTGTTAATAATCTGATATTATAGAAATAGAACAAACAGTTGATCATTCAAAACTATTAACTACTTCATGATCTCTGCCATCATCTACCTTGCCCATTGCTTTTATTTACATCCGTGTATCTTTTCTTACAAAAGCTAGAGATTGGGAAGGAACTGTGGCAGAAAGGCACCACGAGTGCTTCAAATGAAAACACCTTAATATTGTAACTGTTTCTCTGGTTCTCTTGCCTTAGAGTTAGAAAGCAAGGGGCTGCCACGGTGTCAGACTGCATGTAGCCTTTTCTGCTCTTTAATGCTAGCTAATGCAAATGGGCACTAGATTAATGTACAAGCTGTGTCATTCCCACTGGCTTATGCCATTATATCATAGTCTCAACAACCTTTCAGCCCCGAGGGCCTTATTTTATGGTTATAGCCCTCCAAACCAATCACTATTTATTACGAGTGCAGTGCTGTCACTTCAAAAGACTTCGGGTAAGATGTGTGTAATATGGCAGGGTCACACTTTACATTTCAAAAATAACCAAAGGAATGTTGAATTTTCTTAAAATGGGAGAAGTAGTACCAAATAAAAACATGAAATAGATTATTTAACACATAGTGTTCACACAATTATTGTGTAACATATGAATAAAAAGTGATGTTTATCATGGTCTGTCTGCAGTGTGTGTATTTCAAGTCAGACTTAATACAAAAATGAAACTTTCGTTATCTTAGACTAGTTTTTCTATTATTTGCCAGTCTAAGATAACTGCAGCACACAAACAGAAAATTAAGGTTGCAATATTATACACATTTACCTACACATATTGAATTCAGTGGGTCTCTTAAGTAAACGTGTATAGAATTACACTATAATATATTCCTACATAGTATATGGCAACATAACACAGACAATACAGAGGACATCAGTTCTGCTCTTAGTCCCAAATAGAGTAATCTCAGTTGATCCAATGGTATGTTTGTTGACTTAGCAGTTCACAAATCTAAGATTAACTTGTTGCTCTAATTAGGACTATGCACATAATCTAACATGGTTTACAATAAATAGTCATTCTCATTTAAACCTGGACATATCTGGCAATCAATCTGAGAAGTTTTGTGTGTAGAGCATATCTGTAACAATCAGCTGTTATCTTTGATGGTACTTATTTATTTATTTATAAATTTCATTCATTAAAATAAGCAATATAGCCGATGAGTTGAAAACATCATATAAAAGGGAAACAAGATAAAACAATACATTTAAAATTGGCCAAAGTGAATCTGTGTTGAGACCTGATGTACTGCATGTTGGGTATCACAGTCTCTCTGTCATTACCAAACAGACATTTGTGGTCATCTATATGGATAAGAGGGCAATCTCTAAAGATTGTAGAAATCTAGAAGTAGGGGTTTAATTATTTGCGGATTTTGTTCTCAAAGGACACAAAAAATTTGTGACGTTTCTTCCCATTGCAAAGATTCTTTAAAACGATGCATTTTTAAAAGACTGTTTCCAATTCTGGATTTGTTCTGTGCAGGAAGTCACATGTTTATGCTGAAAATAGTAGTTTTGTAAATTTATTTTCTACAGGAAAACATGGTTTCCCCATGCAATTCAAACATGTGGTCATCTTGTGCAGGATAAGTCACCAACTATAGCATTTTCTGTTCAAGATACATATTCTGTGCAGAACATATCTGATTAGACTAGGTCTAGATTGGGGCGGGCATCTTTCCAGTGCTGTATACATTTGCTGTCACTGAGCTGAGTTTCTTGATGCTGTAATTACTAACAAAATTCAGAGCAACCTCTTAGACCACAGAGTAATCCTTATTTATTTCTGATGGACTTTGTACAAAGAAAAGGAACCAAGCTCAGATTGTGAAGTAGTAGCAGAAAGGGAAGGTGATCATTGCCATTTGCCTTGGTTTATTCTTCCTCCTTCACTCACAGGGATATTTTATGAATATTATGTAGAATGTAGATGGGTAGGGCAATCTGATGACAATCAGCTCATTCAGAATAGTAATTCATCATCTAGTAGAGCCTGATTTATGGTATAAATCTGTGTATGACAATTCACACTACACATTTGCTAGAAGAATTATAGAGCAAAGGATAGTGAAAAATTATTGTCCCATAAGTTGTTACTAATTCTTTAGATTCGTGCAAGCAAATCACTATTACGAAACATGCAAAGAAAGGAGAGAAAATTGAAGAACTGAAACATCATTTTCATTAAAATTCTATAGCATCTGGAAGCCTCTCAAAGTCACTTTAATTTTCAGTATAAGCATTAAGCAACTTTGGTAAACCAAATAGGCCATTTCTAGTGGTCGCCATAAGGAAGGACAGCTAGCTGGACTGCATGGGAGACTGAGAACACAGCTTTCTGGGAAATGTAGTTTGGGAAGGCAAGGTCACTTGTGGTAGAGAATTCAAAAGGCCCTGCCCTAAACTACATGTCCCAGAATGCAGTACTCAGCAGCAGAAACCCCAATGAGGGCTGCAGCAGTTAGTCATTTAGAGTCAGTCTAATAATTATGAATAAAATTATTTAATCTGCAAAGAGAACTAAAGTAAGTAAAGGTATAAATCTGTGCTAAGTTGAAGTTCTATGGTTAATTATGTGTCATATGGACACACTGTTAAACAGAAATTCAAGGGGGTTGCTGTTGTGGCTTTTGGGGATACATGTTTTTGTCTAAACCTTTAAATATCTTCAAAAGTCAGTAGATGTGTGAATCTTTCTGAAACTTCTGGGGATTGATGTCCTAGTTATCTTATGCATTATATATAAAATTCAAGTAGATGGCTCTTACAGTTTTTAAAAAAAATTGTTTATAACATTCATAAATGTGGTGGGTTAACAGTTGAAATTGTGTGGTATACACAATAGCAAGTTTTATCACGTTAGCTCTAAAAATGTGGGAGAAATGATCCCCTGAAGTTTCTTCACTTGCTCAGTTACTTAACAATGAAAAAAGTTACAAAAAATTTTAGGTCAATAATTTAGAAATGATTCACCCCCTCTCCTATTTCATAATGAGTATTGAAACATAATTTTCATTGATCACACAACCCTAATAATTAATAAGTGATAGATAACATTGTACTCTATGCCAAACAAAAAGTGCACTAGAAAAATGCCCCTACATTGTGCTGTATTCTCCTTTTGATTATCCACATATGGGCAAAAGAATGACAGTGGGTTTATCTCAGACCTCATTATTATTGCACTTCCTAATTGTATTTGGAGTTAATACATTATCAGTTGGATTTGAAAAATAAAATACCATTCACCTTTGCCATCAGGCATATATGTCCATGAATTGCATGTTTATATTTGGAAAATATTTTCATACTGCTGATTAACCAGGAATAAGAAAGAGAACTGGCTAAGTCAGACAGAATCTAATATTGATCAACATTCCACTCTGTTCTTGTTTCAGTTTACAAGCCCTGAGAAAGGAAAAATCCCGAGATGCTGCTCGTTCTCGCCGAGGGAAGGAAAACTTTGAATTCTATGAGTTGGCCAAATTGTTGCCACTCCCTGCAGCTATTACAAGCCAATTGGACAAGGCATCCATCATCCGATTAACAATTAGCTATTTGAAGATGAGGGACTTTGCTAATCAGGGGGATCCTCCATGGAACTTGCGAATGGAAGGACCACCACCCAATACGTCAGTAAAAGGTATGGGGTTGGATGGTCATTGCGTGTGGAATGTGGCAGCCAATACTGATCTCTAAATTGAAATGTTTACCATCCTTTCTTTTTTCCCTGCATATCAAATCCTTTAAAGGGATACAAATGTGGAAATCTGAGGTCTGCATGAGAAAGACACCATGTGAAGGTGAAACAAACCTCTTATTATATTTATATTTATATTTTAAAACAAACTTATCTGCACAACTATTGTGCTGAGCAAATGAGATTGAGTATGCATATTTACATGACTTGTGGACCACCATTCAGCACAGAATTGTGTCTTTAAATGTACTGATTTTTTAAAAATAAGTATGCTTAGGTCTTCATTGGGTTGTAACCATCGAGTGCATTTTGTATGCATGACCATTTAAAAGTAAGCCCCACTGGATTAATTTTTTTAAAGAATGCATAGGATTATCACATCAGAGTTTTTCTATTTTCTGTCAATTTTTATTATTTTGTGGCCTTTCATCTGCAGTTCACCTAAAAGCATTTTTAATCAGCTGGCTTAAAATTGAATGATATAGTTTAATTGAGCATACATTTTATTTCATTCAAACCAGATATTGCAAAGGACTGAAAATAAAGCACAAGCACATATGCCTTTACATTATGTCATTAAAGTTTAGATGCTGAAAACGAAATGTCACTGTTCTGAGTTTCATTGTACTGTATCGGCATCTACACATTTAATTGTACCTTTAAACTCCTTAACACTAGCTAAAAAGTTCACGTTTGAATTATTCTTGAGGGAACTTCTATTAAAAAGTGTTATAGACTCACATTCTCAAACAATGTGGGCCACACATACACTTACTATTATTACTTTAACACAGGATTCCAACCCATGTGCCTTTCTGACTTGCAGCCCCATATCAACTGCCATTTTAAACTCAGAAAAGTTAACTGGTTTCTTACAGTATGGGAGGGAAGTGAAAATAGATGTTAAATCTTGGGTCTGTGATGACTTATAAAAAGAACATGACAGAAACTAATTTTATAACATCTGAAGTCGACTTGTGCACCATAACTTTCTCATTCTCTCCTTCCCTCTGCACATAGTCATTCTGCTTTGTTCCTCATAAGCATGTTTTCAGGGTACAGAAGGGGTAGCAATGCTCAGACAGAGTTGTCCCTCTCCCTGTTCCACTGATAGAAACTCTTCCATCAATGGAAAAAACTACGTTAGATTTGTTGAAACAGCATGACCTTACCTTTAAAAACTCTATTGATATTAATTGAAAATTCCTATGGCATATTTTTTCCAGCCACCACTTTTCTTACTTTAATAAATGCTAGAAATGTGAATATATTTACACAACTGATGCATGTTTAATTTTCTTTGTAACTATTGAAACAGAAGATAAAAGTGTGTTTCTGTGATTTTAAGAAATGTTGATGCAAAATCAGGACTTTTTAATTTTTTTATAGAAAAAATAGCATTTTATGCTTAGAAATAAGTATTTTGTTGTGTAGAAAATGCTGCTTTATGTACAAAAACCTTGTATAAACAGAACAAAACCTAATTGACAGAATTTTCTGTGCAGCAAACAAGTGTTTTTAAATGTGAATATTTTTCTGCACATACTGCTATTTTCTGTATAGAAAATACTGTTTCCTGTAAAGAACTGAAAATTTTGTGCAATTTGTAAATACTTTAAAAGTAAATTGCACATTTTGAGGTCTTTTTTGCAATAGTAAAAAATGCTAAAATTGCTCAATTTTTCCTTTGATAATGAAATTAGGGAACAATTCCACACCATATAACTGTTTCTTTTCACATAAAATACTGTTTATATTTACAGAAGTTTGAGTATAAAATAAAGGAACCCATTTGCTCCCTCTCCTTAAAAAAGCAAACACAGGGATACACATAAGGAGATTGGAACCATTTGTGTCACTTGTAGAATTAACCAGAGTTTATTATGATGTCTGGATGAAAAACAGTACTGTACTCAGTTTTAACCCTTATTTAATAACAAACCATTCTTGTAAACCATGTTTTGAAGTCTGTGTCTTCAGAAGCATCATAGTTAATATTAACCAGCTTGTTCTGGTTATAAGAAAAAAAGAACAATAGTTAAATGAAAAGTAAATGAATTTAATTTTGCAGCTCCAGGGAACACTCAATCATGACCCATACTTTAATGTTCAATTAAATTTTAATGAAACAAAAATGCTTTGATTTTATACTGAAGAAATGTTCTAGTTAATAAGAAAGCACTTTACATAGACACGCATTTAAGATATGTAGATGACACCATACTACAAGAAGAAAATAGTAAAGACTTGCAATAATTACTGGAGAAAGTCAAGAAAGAAAATTCAATGGCAGATTTACAGTTGAATGTTAAGAAAACAAAAATAATGGTCACAAATTATTAGTGTACCTTTAAAGTAGATGATGAAGACATTGAAATAGTTCAAGATTTCATATAACCTGGTTCAGTCATTAATTAGAAGCTGGGGTCAAGGAATCAGGAGAAGACTAGAACTTTGGAGAAGAGCTACGAAGGAACTAGACAAGATTCAGCTGTATCAGTGTATATAATTGAATATTAGTGTTAGGATTGTCCGTTCTATATTTCCCATTTCTATGTATGTTTGTGAAAGCTGGACAGTCAGGAAGCTGATAGAAACAAAATAAACTCATTTGAAATGTGGTGCTGGTGAAAAGTTTTGTCAAGACTCTGGACAAATTCACCTAAACTCTCCCTAGAAGCCAAAATAACTAAACTGAAACGGTTGTACTTTGGCCATATCATGATAAGTCATGATATACTACAAAAGACAATGCTTGGCAAGGTAGAAGTCAGTAGGGAAAGATGAAAGCCACATTTCAGATAAATTAACTTAGTCAAGGAAACTACAACCATGAGTTCTGAGCCATACTGTTGATAGGGTCATTTGATTGACTTGAAGTCTTGAAGGCATTTAACATCAACAAATACAGTGAACCAAAATAACGGAAACCTGAATAGCCAGAACTAGTAGGAAACAGTTATTTGCAGAAACAAGCTCTATAGGGAGAGCAGAAAAATGTTTATTGTCATCAATACTGTTCATTATGTTAAACAGCCTAGAAATCCACACAATGACATTTGGTGATAATACCAGCCGCAGACCAATTTAGTAATAGGGAAATATATTCTATCTTAAACCAAAATGCTCCAAATGATATTGGAACAAAGTGAGATACTATCTGATAACATGTTAAAGAATAGGAAAGAGAGTAGGAATACGTAAATGTTTTCACAGCAGTGTGGTAGCTTAAGGGTTTTGATACCCATAATTGTAAGTTATTAAAAAAGATTGTGGAGTATGAACAGTGATGTGGACAAGTTTGCAAATGACATCAAATGAGCAAAATGGGCATCACTTTTTCATGGAAAGGTTACAGCATTTGGGGATATTTAGTTAGAAGTCAAGTGAGAAATGGAATCCAAAAGAGGGATACAAAAATTAGAAATTGTGTCAGAAAAGTAAGTCCTTCTTTCATAATACTACAGAAGACTGGATGTGGTCCATCTTGTGTTTTTTTCCCTTTAAATATGACTTTAGTGTATGACTTTCTGTCCAGTGATGTAATTCTGTTAACTTTAAAAAACATTGAGAACCCAGAGCCTAAGCAGAAGTGACTTCTTCTTTTCACTGATTCTCTACTTAACTTTTTGTTAGTGAGAAGAGTTATCAAGTCACTTTATAAAAAGTTACTTGAACCAAATAGAAACACACATCACTACATAATCCTGTGAAATTATGTTTCATTGAATGTATGAATGTGCTATATATGGGATTAACTCATCTTTCACTCAATTAATAGTTTTCTTTGTGTATAAAACTGACATATATTTATGTTGTCAAATATTGTTAAAATCACATTTAAAGCCATTCATTCTCATTTAGCATGGATTTTTTGTACTTTGTATGGATAACTAATCTCAGGTAAATAGCTGTCAGCAGTATAATAAACATGGCATCTAATCCAGCAATAAAAGCACTAGATATTGTGCCTCACCAGTCAGTCTCCTGAAGGCATTTGGAAAATGCATGAAAAAAATCTTCCCCTGCATAAGCTATGGCTATTTGTAAAAATGAGATGACCTGTTCACGTTAATAATTTTATATCGAAGCTTAATTTTAAATTTTTCCTGGGCTACCATATGATAGTTTAATCATTTTAATTTAGAGCTTCAAAAAGGTCCTTTACTCTGTCTAGTCTATAAAAGCTGATGAATTTGTTTTGTTATGCACGTTTTGTATGGATTATTCTAAATTGAGCTTGCAGAAAGAACATTCAGGTGACACTGTATAATATTTCCCAAGTCAATTACTTCATGGAAATGATATGTTAAACAATTGCAAAGCAAGAGACAGTTTTCACCATTATTTTAGAAATATCAGTATTGTTATAGATCAAATATACATTATTCGGCAAATGACCATGCATTCTCAGCAACGGTTCAGCTAAATAACTGATTATTGTAACCTTTAAAGAAATCTCATTGTCACGACTATTGGTTTAAGCACTTCTCTATTCATAGTAATCTTTGTTTGGAGAATATCTAGAAACCATTATATCTTTTAAAAATCTGAAAAGCAATAGCCACTGATATGACATCTGGTAAGACTAGATAATTTTTCTAGTAGTGCAGAATTCAGTTTTCCCTTATACCATTGTTACTTGGAAAATAGAAGCCTCTGAATGCAATAAAGCACACATTTTTCCACAGTTAACTTCAAATATTGCATTTTCAAGATCAGGATAAAATTATCCCACAAGATAGATTTCATGTGAAAGATAATTCTAAAGAAATGTGCAATAAAAGGATATTTATTGAGTACTAGCTTGGGGACCCGGCGTTGCCCGGGTTATTAGAGAAAGTGGGTAATGGTGGTTCTGTATGGCAAGTTTGGTCTTTATTGGTCTTTTCAGGAAGTGAGTGAAGGTACTTGAAGTCCCATCATCCATGGCCCATCCTCCTACAAACAGCAGCAGGATATAGAGTGGGTCATGGTGGCTCTGTGTGCCAAGTTTGGTCTTTATCAGTCATTAGATGAGGGTGGCAGTGGTGTCAGTAAGTGAGTGAAGGTACTGCAAGTCCCATCATCCAAAGTCCATCCCCTTTCAAACTGCAGCAGGAT